GAATACTACCGGAAGATAGAATAAGGACCAGTCATGCCAGTTAACAAAAGAAGCTCATGTTTGTATACATTTGTATTTTTATTCACATCGAACTCGTACGACAAAATGTAGTGAAATCGGTACCAAATACGTAACGTGTCAAACTCCTTTGTCTTTATTAATTAACTCCTGATATATAACACCCTGTGTGTGATTATGTGAATATTGCCTAGATAATGCTGAATACCATAATAAGGAAAGCATTAGTATCAACCCATTAACATTAGACATGTTGCTTATGTTTGTATTCACAGATAAACAGATTGCTCCAGCTGTGGTTGAGGCCAAGCCTAGGGTGCTGCTGCAATCATCACTGAAGACATCGCTCAAACCTGATAGGGAGCCAGAAAAGAGACTGCACTCAAAGAACAAAACACCGAGCAAGACTGAGCCACTACATGTGTTCACGGGTGGTAAGCTAGCAGTCAGTGTCAGTCTACAGTCTACACACAGACTCCTGCTGCAGTCTGTGGGGGCAGTCTGTATGCTCTCTCAACACTCTGGCCTTACTGGTTTTAATTGGTCTGATTGTATTCTTGCACTCTATTGCTATAGCCTTATGTGTGTTATGGGATATTTCTATGTGTCTGAATGCACACTACGTTAGTATTCAATGCATGTGTTAGGCAGATATTTAGACAGTTTTCTTCTGAAATTCTTTCTGAATGTTTATGAGTACTATAGTAGCTCTTTGCTAATGTGACACTACCCTGTAATCTATCATCTGTGTCTTACTGCATTCAGTTACCATGGTTTGGCATGGGTTACTATGGTGCCAGCTAGGTTACCATGGGTTACCACGGTACCAGGCTGGCTATCATGGGCAGAATGCTGTGACTGTGTGCATGAGTGAGGGGGCGCCACTGACAGCGTATCAAACACTGTTGTGTAATTCGACTTCAGATATGCATGAGCTGCATGCTGTCAGTGGCTTGACTGGTCTCGGACTTCTGGCTCATTATATCACAACTACCAGAAGTCGTCAAAAAAAAGAAGGTTAGTGTCTATGGGAGGGGGGAGGCAGTTACATAGAGCTGTGAACTAGGGGCATTGTAACATGCAACTGTTAGCTATTTTCTCACACATTATCGTAACATTTTCACATGTATTTGTAATATATTTTTCAGAATCAGAAGACGAAGACGACGACGTGGATGGAGCGTCAGCGTCCAAAAAGCGCAAGCCTGGACGACCGAAGAAACATTCCCCAGACAGTGATGGAGAACAAACAGGTACTTGTCTGCATGCGTGCCTGCGTGAAGGCGTGTACATATGTGTGTGTGTATGCATGAAAGCGCGCGTGTGTGTGCGTATGTGCGTAAGTGAGTGTGTGCGTGCATGGGTGCGTGCATGACAGAGAATTTATTTTTTTTAATGTTTAGAGAGAGACAGTTTTTGCTCTATATTGTTTTAGATTTATTCGCTTGCAAAGTCGAATAACTTCTGTACTAACATTTAGTTTTTAGCTTAGCTGATGAAGTCAGATGCAGCTTGTAGAATCGCCTGATTGTCCGTCCGTCAACAGTTGGGCACAAATCTTAACCGCTCGACTTACGGTCTTGATATTCGGGACGTCGGGGGGGGGGGGGCGAAAAGGACTCGGGATGTCGAATTCGGGGGGTCAAAGGTCAAGATGTGTCAACGGAGGGGGAATATTTACCCCTTAACTTAAGGTATAGGAGGAAATACGGAATTGCGGCACAAATCTCAACGGCTCGACCTACGCTATTAATATTCGATGTATAGTGTGATGGGGAGGGGCAGTGGGGGAAGGTCAGATATCGACATTTTCTGAGCGACATGTCTAACGGACTGGATGGCATAAATTTTTGAATTTCAACGCTAGCCTACCGGTTTTATTCACTTTATTGAAAGGACAATGAAATTACGTTTCCGTGAGGTGCGAAGAGTAAGTGTCTGATCTGTTGTGACCCTATAAGAGGGAGGGTTAAACATGGACTTTGTTGACTGTTAACAAAGACGTGAAACTGCTTTTACAATTTAGAGCCCTTTCCACCGCCCTTCCCAGCCCTCCCCCACTGCTTGTGCGCACCTACTTACGGCTCGCGTGCGTTGCGACGCATATCCATTGATAACATTCTGTGTTGGTGTTGTGATCTGATTGAGCCTCTCGACAGTCCAAGTATTAGAGTGATGTACACAAGCTAGTATCCCTTTGATGTAAATTAAAACTTGTGATCAGCGCAGTAGCGAATAGTATGGCAAAGGCGTATCACATTATTTGTAGATCTGCCGTATAAGTAGTATCCTAGATATATGCCTGAGAGTGACGCGTGGCAGGAGGCACACTTGGATTCGGTTGCGTGAGTTTATCACGAAGAATACCTGGCTACAGTTACACGGGCAGTGAGCCGCTGGTCGCTCTACGGCCACGTTGCGTTCTCTATCACCGTGTCATGGTTATATCTTCGTATGTCCTTCAGCTGGCTTGCAATAGCTGCACATGATCAATGTGGCACACGAGGCTCTCTTCACGCTTTCAACATATCCTGACACGTTATGCATCCAGGATTAGTGATCATCAAATCCTTGAATCAGTGAGCGAACTGCGCAGCTGTTAGTTCCATTGCCGGTGTATACACACTCCAAATCTGTGCAATGAACACAACATTAACGCCATCTGTTGGACAGTATGGTTAATGTGGAACTATAATTACATTATAAGCGAGCGTAATATCATGCACACTAGGTGAAACGAGTAAAGGTAAAACTTCGATTAACCTACTTCGATTAAAACTGTGAGTCACAGAGAAAAGGTAAAACTGCAGTGTGATAGTTTATCAGGAGAGGATTACATGAGGATGTGAGTTCTCTACCTTGATCTGATTCACAGGGGCAGCCGTACGCATAACGACCTCCTTTTATCTGTCCTGTCGAGCATAGCTCCTCTAGAGCGGAGAGCGGCTGACAAGTGAACGTTCTCTCTCCAACCTTTCTAACACAGCAGTCCGAGAGGCAGTCTGGGTTAAACTGACAACGCCTTCCTGTCATTCTCTTAAAAACCTGTAAAACACCAGTGTACACTATACTGACTATAGGTGTGTGTGTGCGTGTGCGTGCGTGCGCGTGCGTTCGTCCGTGCATGCATGTGCGTGCGTGCACACATTTGTTTGTATAAACTCACTCAGTATCAGAAGTGATGCTAGTGTTACAGTTAGGTCTATCTTTTGTATTAACCGTTAAATGTCATATAGTATTGTACAGACATGCCACCATGCACACAGTCACAGCAGGTTGGGCTGACACACACACACACACCCATGCTTACACTTACAGGAGCGCTGTAGCCTATAGCAATGCCACCATGCACACAGTCACAGCAGGGATTCAAGGATTTGATGATCGCTCACTGATCCAGCCAGCAGACACGGACACAGTTACAGACACGGATACAGTCACAGACACAGCGACGGCAGTCGTGCCACCGTTTGCTGGCATACACCAGGTTGCTACAGGCTACAGCCCTCCTGTAAGTGTAAGCATGGCCACACACACACACACGTACAGACACAGTGAGCGAACTGCGCAGCTGCGTGTTCCATTGCCGGTGTATACACACTCTATATCTGTGCAACGAACACAACATTAACGCCATCTGTTGGACAGTATGGTTAATGTGGAACTATAATTACATTATAAGCGAGCGTAATATCATGCGCCTCTAGGTGAAACG